ATGCATGTCCTGCCAAGGACATACACAAGCACACATACACACACACGCATGCAGTGAAATCATTCGCTTTTAGCAGCAAGTATTTGGACAGGATTAATTGCATGTCCTTGAGCTGCTGCCTGCCAACCAACCAACCAACCAACTAGGCAAGCAGACAGATGGGCAAACGCTTCGCTGCCCAAGCAAAACTTTCAGCATTGAATTGCACGTTCATCTCTTACTATTAAGCGTTTGTTTGTATGCTTGTGTGTGTTTGTGTTTATGTCTCTCAATACATTAAACCGCCACAAAAGCATATCAACTCAGTTCGATTTTCAGCTTAAAATAAGTAACTCTCACTGGAAATTTATCCCCTTTCACATATGTGAATCCTTTTGGAGTTATGAACGTCATATAAACATTTTTATAGTGCTATTTTATGTGCGTGTGTGTATATGTGCATCGGCGATCACCTCATTGGCGCACTACGAGCCGCGATATTTTTTTCATGCAGCTTTCGCTGATGAAAGTTTATTGCTTTGACAGTGGGACGACTCAGTTCGGGACCCAAATGCAATAAATGCTCAAATAGAAACTGAAATCGAGCTTAAACTTTGTTTTAAAAGACAAGAACCTCGACTAATTCGGATGGGAACTACACTTCTCCCTCCCGAGAGTCGATACCGCGTGATGACAGAGAGCGAACCACAATAGAGCCACAGTATGGTACAAAGATAAAAGAAAGATACGAGTACAGCATTTAGACGCACCCATTCAAAGTATTGTTGTTGTAGTGGTTCACTGGTCCGGCTTAGGAGCAGGCAAGATTAGTCAATGGGAGATGCGGGAAACGAGCTGCTCGGGTTGGGACCAGGAGGCAATAGCGGTAGGTTTTAAGGGGCTTTGTAAGTAGGTAGTTAGAGTCATTGCATACATGACAAACGTAGGGTATATCAGGGTCAAGTCTAGATAGGTAGGAATTTAGTGAAACTTCAATATCGACAACTTAATTGTGATAGTATTGTATTATGCGCGTCTCTCGAGGCAAATCAAGCTCTTTGTCTATGTTGTTGTTGTTGTTATAACCGAAAAAAATATTCCTAAAAGTAATTTTTGGGAAATGTTTTGGGAGTGACAGTCCTTGGCCGGATAAAAAATCCGGGTCGTTCTGGTATAAATACCCGACGGGAGTCATTGGATTTTAGTCGCCTCTTACGACAGGCATGCCTTACCGCGGGTAAATTCTTGAACCCCCAACACCATCCATTACAGACGAAGAGCTGCCCCTGCTCTTCGTCTGTAATGGATGGTGGTTTGACTCTTAGAACGCTATTCAGTGGAAGAGAATTCAGGCTGTAGTTGACGAACTTACGGTGAATGGCGTTTAATGCCTTCGTTAAACCGTTCTGTGCACCGGTTCTTGTAAGTGCTCCCTTCCTGATGTGCCCAGGAGGTGTTTCAGCATTTAGTAAGTGTATGTTGTGGTGCTCCCTATGTTAGCGTCCAAGCAGATATTGCTTGCATAGCAAAGTCTTAATGTAGCGCAGATGCTTCCCGTTGCAAGTGATGCTCTGGCGATATCAGGAGGTTTCCTATCCTGGCTCTGAAGGCAAATCGCCTTGTATATATCGCCAACAATCTCCGAGAGAAGTGAACTATGCCGTCTCTATGATCTTTCGAATAGCTTCATAATCATAAAATCACAAATCAAATTTTTTATGCAGTACCCGCCGGTACTCCGTTTGAAAGACCAGGTAGAAAAGGACCTGGCTGTACTGGGTATTTCCAACAGTAAATAGAAGAAACGATTGGTCGACCTTCGTCAAGAAATATCAATCCCTTTTGGGGTATTTTTGGGGTACAGAAACAAAATTTCATTTTGCAAAATCGCTCAGCATTGTTGGAAAATACATTAAAACTTACAGCAGAAATTCGGCTGAAAAACATCTCAGCGATTAGTTTAAATAAGATTGAAGGTTATGCCGGACATCATCACATTTATACCACCAAACCACGTATAATACTATTAACATACATCCCTCAATCAAAGTACTATGTGAGGCTGTGATAGAGCATAGAAAAGGTTGCCGACCTTAGAGAATTCAACTTTCAGAGAGGCTTTCACAAGGGAAGTGACTTAAGGATTCAGATTCTTTTTCTATATACAACTCCTGCAGAAGCCGTTTGATGGTTTGTTGACAAGCAACGTCTCTGCGCGCCTATCTTAAAGAACATTAGCCTCAGGGAACCTGCTTCCTCTTTTCGCAAGATAAACTCTCAGGACCTCTCTTATTTAATGCCCGTTACATTACCCTTCTCATATTACAACCATTAAGACACTTCCAAACTGAGTTAACATTTGCGAGAATTGACTATCTAGTGGTGAGCAAAAGTGGCGGGAAAGCACTCGGTCATGCAAGCTCGACAGTCATTCTGATACATGATATGTTACTGTGTTCTGACACCCATACTAGGTACGGACATAACTGCTTTGGTAACACGTTCGCAACTCTTTCTAGATTCTACTATCTCTACTTAAGACTAAGACAAGAAGCAAAGCTAAAATCGAGTATCTGTCTGAAAATAACATTAAAGTTAAACATTAGAAGAATCAAGAGCCTAAACTAAGCTAAATTCCAATATTAGATTCAAAGCCGCAGTAGCCGAATGGTTGGCAGTGTGTACTACCAAGGAAAAACTCATAGATTCGAACACTGACTGCAGTCAAAAACAGTCCACGCTCTTCAGGAAATAAAGTCTCCTCATAATTCATAATATTCGCACATCAAGATGGCATGCATCTCCATTATAAAGCACGGATTATACGACTCGAACTAGAGACTCTAGGTGCATGTCTTAAAATCGTGGTCCTGGAAACATATGCAGTGATCGGCTGAGGTTGGTTAGCTGTGGAATTTCAAGAGGGTCCTCGTGGAGAAAGCTCAAATATAGCTGCATAGAAAATTCATATCACCGAAACTAGTCACTGTTCAATGCTTGTGCACTCATCAACAGTTCTACGCGTCTCCTCTTTTGACACTGCTGTCTCTACTGCTTACATTAAACTGATTACAATTTCATTTAAATTTGCATTTAAATAAGCTCAATGGTTAAATGAAATGGACATGAGCTGAGGTAAATGATTGTGTGTACATATCTGTGTGTGGGCACTTACACATCTACATGCATAACGTAAAGGATAATAATCGCTTGCACGCGAACATACAAGCCGAACTGCATTAAACACCTGTGCACACAAACACGCGCGCACACAGCCGGAGACGGGTGCGGGGAAAGCGGATGCGTTCAATGAATATATGCACAAATACAACGGCGAATGGTATTCATGTGGAGCCCTGTAGAGATGGCAGTAAAGCGACGTACCTACTACGAGAGATCTCTAGCAGGTTTTCCTTTTAAACGAAAATGTAAAAAAAATTTCATATTCGAAATCTGTTTAGAGCAGGCTCATCATGGCCATTCATATACCATTTCTTCTTCCTCTTCATCTTTCTTCGGCATCTTCTGAAAAAGGCTGCTAGCCCTTCAGCATGCTGTTCAGTCATGAATTCAATAACCTTTGAGAAGACCACGTTTTTGAGATGATATAAGCCTGCCTGTGAATATAGTTTCAGTGGCTAGAGGCATACCCATGCGTTCTTTGTTGTATCCGGAATATTCTGCCTGATTCTACTTTGCTTAGAAAATTTGTTTACTTTGCAGTTCCTCTCTATGCCGCTTTGATTGGGCAGAGCACACTTAAATTCGAATTGCTGGCCCTGTTTTCGTCCAACCATATTCTGCAAAGTATGTTGTGTTGGTAGGCCGTCAGCTTCAGTCGCTTTGTTGTTTTTGAATTGCCCGCATTTCGAACTTCTTCATGGTCGGGAACGTCTCTTTCCATCCTCATCGATTGGGGTTTCGTTTTCATCATCTTTGGATGCTCCATTTTCACTGACATTCACCAGTGAAGAAATTTTTCTCTGCGCATCGGTGGCTAGATCACTTCTTTGTTTCTTACAGGCGTCTGCTCCGGTCTTGAAAGCTTCTGTAAGTCGTTGTATCTTCTCAAAGAATTTTCGAGCATGACGCTTGTCGGCCAGCCTCTCAAACTCTTCTTACTCACGCATCTCGGTCTGTTTCTTTTCTTGTCTGCAGATGCATCTAGCTTCCCTCTTCGGTTTACGGTATCTATCCCATCCGGAACGTGTAGTGGTCGATCGCAATGTTGCGAGGTAGGCAGTCTGTTTCTCTCCACTGCGACACGGCAGTTCTCATCGTTAGTCTTTAGTAATGAACAGGTTATTCTTTAAGCTTTTGTAAGACTATGGAGCAATTAAAGGTTTAATTTTTGCTTAATTGCCTCTATAAATTAGCTAATTGAGTGCGTGTGTGAACAGGTGCGAATTTATTTATGATTTTTAATAAATTTATTTAAATCAACTAATTTCTTGTTTCAACCCTTCAAATAATATTTCTATAAACTAATTTTTCCAGCCGAGCACATTAGCTGAGTAAAAACAGTTCCTTTATTCAGCTCACCAGCAGCATTGCTTTGTGTTATGATCCAATTTTCATTTCCCTTTTTGGCAAGGTATTTTTAAACGAAATGTTTTTATTTTCCAGGTACAATTTTCGATTATCAGCGTTCGATATTTTATTTATTTTCTTTTGTATTTTTTTTTTTTTTTCTTCTTCATATTTTTCCTTCGTCCTTGCGGTCCATTACTGGCAAATGAGAGTGTGACGTAGCCCGTGTATTGGCAATGACCATCATCATAATAATAAAAGCTTTATTAACTCGCCATTGATAGTGAAAAGAAGCGAGCGAGCGAGTGAAAAGCAAATGAGAAGCATTTACAAAGGCCAATAGCTGCATGTATGTGCGTGTGTGTGTGTGTTTGTGTGTGTGAGGGTTGGGGTTGGTGTTGAAGAAATGAATGAGAAAGTTAATGCATACAGCAAAGTGCAAAAGCATTAAGCGCCATTGGCAGCATGTAAGCCAACGGAAGCCACTGACAATGACGACGGTTAATGACTGCATACATTCGGATATTCTCAAAGGTAAATGAGCTCATCACATGTGCACTGTCACTCAGTGTGGACTCAGAGGACGACAAGGAGTTGTTGATTTTTTATTTCTTTATTTAATTATTTGCATTTTTTTTTTTTTTTTTTTTTGTAATTCAACTGTCCTTCACGGAAATGAGCTTTTAAGTAAGTGTTTTCTTGTGTATTTACTTAAACTTGTATTGGTTGTATGTTGGGTTTTGTTGTGATTTCACCCATTAAACATTCTGTGGTAGGTCGTACGTTTATATAAATCCAATTGAAGGAGCGCCAATTGAAGCGAATCCGTCGAAGTTTCATTGAATTTTGGTGTTAATTAAATTGTGGAGCATGTTAAAACTTCTCTAGCAAAGAGTGGGAGAGTAGTGATAAATTTCGCCCTTTGCTCGCAGAAAGAACATACTTGTATCCTACCTAATTGAACTCAACAATAGCAAGTTAATTGTTTCGCTTTCTCGCTGTTTGATGCCAATTAGTGACAGCAAGTGAAGTAAAGCCTGGCTTCAACTGTTCTATCCAACATAGTGGAGGTCTTCATTCTTGCTTTGCTTTCACCGCCGAGTACTGTATCGAAAATTCTCAAATCTCAGGTACTTCTCATTAAAATCAGGCTTCTCTTGAGGTCATTCCGTCATCAGCCAAATTATTTGCTATAGACAAACACAATTAGTAATCACTTGCTGCGATGCACAAAATCCACCCAACCAAGCTCTCGAAGCTTCTAACGAATTATTATCGATGTATGTGGTCTGATGTTGTCCTCACGAAACGCAATTCCCCTCTTGCAGCCCAAATCTGGGATCTTCTCCGCGATTGCTTCCTTTAGGCGGTCCATTGACTGACATTGCTGGTCCGTATTAAGGGTTTGGTCACAGGGGAGCAGCTCATAGTGGATGATTCTTTACCAATCATCATCATGAAACACACAACGAAATCTTCCCCTTTCGTCAAACTTGGCTTGGTGACAATTTTCGCCAGCAGCTTATTGCACTTCTACCTCGCCCTTTTTCGTTTGATGATGCTGTAAGTGAGTCGCTTTGCGCTTCAGATTTTCATGGTCGATTTTTTTACGATTCAGCAGCAAATTCTTAGATGACAATTCGGGTCAACTCACGTATCATCCATACATCGAGCCTTTGTGTATCCAGCCAGTAGGGCTTGTGTGGTTCCGCAGCGCGCGATATTTTCATCAGAATAATATCAAAGAAGTAACATTAAAAGTGTCACCTCGTTCCAAAAACCCCCTCTGATATCGAACGGCTAAAAATGGTTTGTATGGTTCTGATGGTGTTGTTTAACGGCACAACCTTATGAATATCACAGAGACAAGGAAAATTATGGAGACATAGAAGCTTTTTCCGGCGTCTGCAATACAAAATCACTGAAAGTACCTGGTGAATGATAAATTTGCCTGGTCTGCGGTCCGACTATCAAATTCCGATTCCTTCAGTTGCTGCTCTAAAAGCCTTAAGGCTCTTTAGGCGTACTTATGCTCATGGAACGTGAAGACAATTGAATTGTCTTCCATTTATGGTTCGCTTATACCATTTCTGGATCTTTCATTTCATCTGCTATTGAGAAGGCTGCAGATGTCATAGTCAACGGATCACGTCTTCTTTGGGGAAATCACACTGTTTTTCTTTCTGGTTTTTTTCAGAAACTTATTCATTTCCGCTACTCTTTCTCTTTCCCTTTCTCTTTCTCTTTCCCTTTCCCTTTCTCTTTCCCTTTCTCTCTCTCTCTCTCTCTCTCTCTGTCTCACTCTCTCTCTCCGTCTCACTCTCTCTATCCGTCTTTCTCTCTCTCTCTCTCTCTCTCTCTCTCTCTCTCTCTCTGTCTCACACTCTCTTTCCGTCTTTCTCTCTCTCTGTCTCTCTCTATCTCTCTCTCCTTCTCTCTCTGTGTCTGTCTCGCTGTCTCTCTCTCTCCCTTTATCTCTCTGTCTCTCTCTCTGTGTCCCACTTTCTCTCCCTTTTCTTCAGTCAGGGTCAGACTTGGCGTAGGTAACTACTAGTTACTTAAAGAACCCAATTGGAACTTTGAAGAGCTCATTTTTAGGAACTACGAGCTTAATATCTCTACATTGGAGAGATTAGAAGACTTAACACTTGCCACACATTACACAGAGCTTTCGAAATTGTGAAAACTCGGGAAGGCAAAAGCAATACGTTAACAAATTTCTGATGGAATAACTCAGGAATTATATCTCTACACTTGATTGCATCATGTTGAAGTAAAGATCATTTAAAAATATTAAAATTAATTTATCAAAAATCCACCAGCATCTTTTCAGGCCGTACAAATCGGAAGTTGGAGCTGCAGGAATCTTCAATTAAACTACTTTGCCCAAATCTCTCAGCTATGATACGCTCACGTAACTGCATACATAATCGTAGTAATAGAATGAGTAACAACACTAACAACAACAACAACAATGACACCTCCCATCAAGACAATGACAACACAAACACCAACTATGGTAGTCTATATGCGGGCTACTATGCGAGCTGCACGCCATCAAGTGAAGAGTCCTCCAGCAGTGGTGGCACAAGCACAAACATCAACTCACTGACCAACTCCACGGCATCGTTGGTAACAAACCAACACGAAAAACGCTACGAGTTTAAAGCAATTGAACGTAACCCCTATATGTTGGCAAAACCGAATGCAATGAGAACCTTAGACGTACAACGTCCACCGTGGGCTCAAACTATGTGCACAGCATATCAAGAGGCCCAAGTGCCACCTTTCGTTACGCCCAGCACAGGTCGAAAACTGCCACCATTTCCTAAATTACAGTATCCTGGCGCTGCATGGTCGCGTCACGACGATGACGTTGTCGGCGATACGCCCACAGACAGACCGAATTTGAAAGCGTTGCATGTCGGCCACCACAACGGTGGGGATTTGGGTGTGGAGAAGGAGGCGTTCCAGCAACAGCTGCAGCAGCAATTAATACCAGCATCAAAGTCACATTCAATGGCCTTCGGTATACGTCGCATGCGACGACCACGTCAATGGGTGGCACCAGCCTTAAAGCGGCTTTCGCGCATCGAGGCGCACGCTATGAAGTTGGGTGTACTGCGTAAAGGACGTGCATTCATTTTGGAGTTTCTGCAAGGTTCCTCCATACATGGATTTATCTATTTGGCGAAAATCGGTCTGAGCTTTGTAGAGAGGTAAGTGGAGATCTTTGAGTGCGTTGGTGAATGATGATTATGGGTTGTGAAAGATGACATAGTTAATGGCGTTGGCGTGCGCTGACAAAACGAATGCGAAATTGGATGGTACACTTTTAACTGTTATCGTAATTGATTCAGGTTGCTCTCTTCTTATAATTCGCCAGAGTGCTTAGAGCATAATGACCGCAGATGAGTGACGGCGAATGTCAGTCAAAGCTTTACTCCGCACAAATGGTTGCATTAAACCTTTTCAAAACTGCAAAATTAGAACCAGGAAAGCTCAATAAGCTGTTGCGGAGGTTGTGCACTAGATGGTGAGGAATTTCTGCGGATGTCAGTGGGCAGACTTTATTGAGCCTATTCATGATTGTAAAAATTATTAACTATGAAAGCTCGATGAGGCTTCGTCGTGATAAGTAATTGAATCCATCCTTATTCAGCTCATAAAAAAAATTATATTCGAAAGCTCAATGAGCTTCTAATGAATTAAATTTTACCCAGCTCTCAAAAACAAAAAAGCTCTCTGGGAAAGCACAGTGAGCCTGCAGCGAATTTGAAAGCTTTACCGGTTATTTTAAAAACTTTTCACTTCATAACCAAGCTCAATAATCTCTAGGGGTTCCAGCAAGCTTAGAATCTGATATTTTTGTAATTTATAAAAAATGACATCGCTAAAAGCTCCATCAGCTTTTGGCAGCTTTAAATCTCCGTTATTTCTATATTTTATAACTTGACAGCTCTGCTCTAAAAAAGCTGTTCAAGCTTTCAAAAACAATTGTATGTAAAAACAAAGCTTTTGATACATTTAAAAAAGTAATTTCCTTATAGCTTTCAACTATTTACAGTATATTTTTAAATACTAGTATTTTTTTTCCGGGGAGCAAATCACGATGACAATTCCCAAATTAATTTAATTTATATACTTATAGCAAAAGCTTTCCAGGCCGGAAAAGATTAAAAGTAAATCAGTCCCAAGAGCTTTTTAAACAAATGTTTTATTTTTTATTTTTATAAAATTTTGCGTAATACTAATTATTTCCAATGAAATGAAGAATTTATAAGAACACCAGCAGTACCCAGGCAGATCAAAACACTTTCAATAAAGTCAGGTGCGTATATAGGTCATCAAAAGCTAAAAAAGAGATTTTTGCCAAAAAATTAAACTAGTTTTTTCCAGAAATATAAACTTTACTTAGGCTCCTTCAACGTAACTGCCACTAACAGGAGTAGTCAATGTCAAAACTAATTTATTTGGTCAAATATGATACTAACCAAAAGGTCAGCTCAAGCAAAAACTTCCTACACCAGCCAGCGCCAGTTCATCCAACAAATGTATGCCACCACTCGAAATCCATCAGCCCCCACCATCATAAGGAAGTCGAAGCAGTGCTTTCAAGCGCCAAACACTTTATACTAATTACATCCGCTCCGCTATAAGCTACGAGGGCTACATTGCCTTACAATAGTTTTTCGTGTCACACGCGTGCACACTTGGAGCATCCCTTGCCTTAGGCTATATAACTAAGTATCTAATATTCACAAGTAATACACGTACCTATCTTTGTATGTAAGTATGTATGTATGTATATTGTATGTTTAATCTCATGTGCTCGCTCGTAATCCTGTTTGTCGTGTCATGTCAGTTTTAAGGATTTATTACCAAGTTCGGCGTATACTCAGCGTATATACACCCATACATGCATAGAAAGAAATGAAAAAGTAGCAAAGAAATTAAAATATGTGCTCATATGTTTGTGTGTACGTAAATTTCTTCAAATCATTTCGTATGTAATTTTATGCCTGAAATATAGTAGAAATGTTAACTCCACTTAAGCGAGCTTGAGTGAAACGACAGAGCCACTTTTGGGGATAATACTTTTTTTGGGTTCGTATGAAATTGAAGACGATATTTGCTTAAAAAAGTGTCATTGCGGGTTGAGCATGCTTAGTACTGTTAAGTATCGTCTTAACACTGATAAGACAACTAGTATTTGTTACCGTCAAGAAAAATTTGGTGGGGGCATATTTATACTACTTCAAAAAGGTTCCTTGTAACATTTTTTTATTTCTTTTATTTAATTTACTTCAATTATCTATTATTTTATTGATGTATTTTATTTTATTTCATTTCATTTTTTTTATTTTATTTTATTTTATTTTATTTTATTTAATTTTATTTTATTTTTTTTATTTTATTTCATTTCATTTCATTTCATTTTATTTTATTTTATTTTATTTTATTTTATTTTATTTTATTTTATTTTATTTTATTTTATTTTATTTTATTTTATTTTATTTTATTTTATTTTATTTTATTTTATTTTATTTTATTTTATTTTATTTTATTTTATTTTATTTTATTTTATTTTATTTTATTTTATTTTATTTTATTTTATTTTATTTTATTTTATTTTATTTTATTTTATTTTATTTTATTTTATTTTATTTTATTTTATTTTATTTTATTTTATTTTATTTTATTTTATTTTATTTTATTTTATTTTATTTTATTTTATTTTATTTTATTTTATTTTATTTTATTTTATTTTATTTTATTTTATTTTATTTTATTTTATTTTATTTTATTTTATTTTATTTTATTTTATTTTATTTTATTTTATTTTATTTTATTTTATTTTATTTTATTTTATTTTATTTTATTTTATTTTATTTTATTTTATTTTATTTTATTTTATTTTATTTTATTTTATTTTATTTTATTTTATTTTATTTTATTTTATTTTATTTTATTTTATTTTATTTTATTTTATTTTATTTTATTTTATTTTATTTTATTTTATTTTATTTTATTTTATTTTATTTTATTTTATTTTATTTTATTTTATTTTATTTTATTTTATTTTATTTTATTTTATTTTATTTTATTTTATTTTTTTTTTTACTTCTTATTATTATTTTTTTAATATTCTAACATTTAATTACCTTTTATTCTTCTGCTTTCTTGGTTAACAAATTCCCAAACTTTACCTTTAGTTTTAAAGGAATTTTAATGCGTTCATTTTGTAACCGAAAAACTAGTGATACATACGAGGATTAAGCTGACAGGGAATTTGAGACGGCATGTGCTGCAACGAAGGCAGACAAGCAATCAACTACGTGTGTATATATACACATGTGTATGTATACGCAGTCTTCTCACAAAAACCACCCGCAGCATAGACCTTCATTCCAATTGCCATTTGTTATTTAACTCACCTCATCTTGGGTATTTGTTGTTGGCTTTCCCCATCGCTTAGACTTTTTTGACTTTAATCGCATAATGTCATTGTCTCTTAATTCCACTTTCATTTCATACCAAACACATTATATGTTGGGAAATTTTTCAGCTCGAAATGCTTAAGCTTTTAGGCTTATCCAACACTCACATAATTAATTAAGCTTAATTTTCAAACAAGCCACAATGTTACATTTAATTATATACGAACCCAAAAATATTTTGAAAAAGAACAAAAAATGTAGAATTCTCCATAAATTACGAAGGTGGGGAGGAGGGAAATGTCCATATTAAAAGAATTTGAAAAGAACACAAAACTAGTTTTATAGGATGGGTTATTTTATTACAGCCAAACTCAATTTCACTCTGAACTTTGACCTAAAACAATGACATTACCTGCGGGTACAGCTCGATTAGCAGGGGATTCGAGCATAAACTTGGCCACGTACCCTCACGTTTCATCTGGGAAAAGAGGTTTCAAATGACGTTTCAGAGGAGCCAAGTTGGCAGGATCATTCGACCCGCCGGTGAAACGTATAACCTTCACCCGAATGGATCAAAAATGGTTGACGGAAGGGACGTGGGAATCTATGGCACTGACAATCCTTCAAGTCTCCAGTGTACCGCAAAAATTTTCAAGGCGGAAGTCTTAGCAGTTAGAAAATTTGCTAAAGCAGCTAACAACACAAGAAAGCACTTAAAATTGTGTTAGTATAATGAAGTTTCCGAAAGAACTCGATGATCAGAAGACATTAGGACAGCACCTCCATTTCTGTCTGTTCTTAGCTAGAGCTCATATTAGATATCTCAAAGCTATGCAATTTGGAGGACTAGAGAAATCTTCAAAAGTGAATGGTAGGACCCTCATGAACTTTACGAAAAGCCTCCTATCCTAGAACTATTTTAGATCGCAATAAAATGTAGGTTTATCTGACACTTCAACGGACCGACGTGCCCATGTAAGGCTCAACAGTCGGCCAGGAAAGCCTAAATCATGAAAGAGCTTCAAAACAATTGCAATGGCAATCCTTAGGAAAAGCTAATAGAAGAAAAAGCTTTTAAAACCGCCTGCGCCTAAGCTTCAATTCATCTTTAAACATTTTTTTCCTCCATAAGTCCGGATTAAAGAAACAATCCTTAAAGGTTCACGTTAACTTGAATTCACGGAAGTAAAATCAAGTCAAAAAAGCCTATCTTCAGCCAAACAAGTTGAAGAACTCTAACAGGACTCCACGTTGCGAAGATAACAACCGTTAAACTAGTGTGGATTTCTCCATTGATTGGCAGACTGATAAAAGAAGTAGCATGGGTAAGAGATTTTAGTCTCATATGAAGATCAAACTGTTCTCCTTCCAGAGCTTTACCACAAGTTCACTCAATATTCTGGAAACCCCCAGGGATCTTCCAGAATGGCTTATCTCTCCCAGTATTTTTTTCTGCCACTCCTCTTAAGGTCGGTTAATCGATCGGTTCAATCTTTCTGGTTATAATACCCGAAACTCAAACTAGTAAGGTATAACACATATATTGTAGCCCTCTCTTTATCTCCTATTATTGACATGTAAGTTTTCCTTCTCTTCTATACCATTGTAGAGCAAGCCACTTGAATTTATTGTACAGATTAGGTGCTTGACAGTCAGTCGAAATGATATTCCGACGTACAGAACTAAAAATCTTAACAGAGGAGAGAACCTCTTCTAGAGAAGATGGCGTCACTTGCAGGCAAGTGTGCAACAGTTCTGGATCTCACTTACCTGGCAGT